CGCCGGGGGGCTGCTGGGATGCCTGCGGCTGCTGTTGCATGAGAGAGAGCTGCGAGGCTGTCGGCGTGGCGTACTGGAAAGTTCGGCTGGCCAGAGGGCTCTGTACGGGCGGGCTGCAGATGGCGGTGGTGTATGAGCAGGGCGAGAGGATGACAGCCTGCTGGGGCGTCTGCGTGCTGGGCGAGGGGGAGTGCAGGTTTCCGTGGGACAGGCTGCTGGCGGTGTACACAGGAGGAGACTGTGTCCTGGTGCGCGACGACGAGGAGGAGGTGCTGGAGTTCAGGGAGGGCATCTGCTGCAAGCTCACTGGGACGATGGTCTGCACCATCTCCCGGTCATGCTTCACAATCTGCTTCAGGATTTCGTTCTCCTGGTTGTTGAAAACCCCAGTGTTGAGGTCCTTCTGGAACTTCTGCAGGAGGATTGAGTTCTTCTTCCCTTCACAGAGAGGCAGAAGAGTTAGCGAGCCTGACAAACGGGGCAGACCCTCGCTCTGACTTTGAGTTTCAGGCCCCACCATTGAGGGCTGTTATTTGTAAAAGCCTCAGCAAACACCAGGCTGAGCAGCAAGCTGGCTGCTGGAGGCTGTGCCACAGCAGGCACCAGCACAGGGATTGGGGCTGGCAGGCAGCCCCTGACTGCTGGCCTTGCCACATGCCCAGCGCCCTGCTCCCTGCAGCAGCACAGCAGGCTCTCCTATCTGCCCTGTGCTCAAAGAGACCTGGACTTCTGTGCCTCTTCACTTGTACGGTACTGCTAATGCTACAATTATTCTGAAAACGTAACCATGGTAATTTACTGAATAACAGGGTGGAAAAAGCCATCAGGCTCTGCACACACAACGTCTTTCTCTCTCTTTGCAAAACTGTCCTAATTTCCACTAAACTGTTACATAAGTTATAAACACACTTGCCATTTAGCACATTCCCTGGAACTAATTATTAGACATTAGACTAGCTTGCAAGAAATAATCTTTTTAAATGTTTGTGAACTAGTATGAACCCATGGATAACGTGACACCTGCTTACATAAAAAAAGACTGCTGTACACTGTGTCCTGATGTCTGCTCGCTGGCTCTCAGTGTCTTCAATATGTATACGGCTACTCTGTGTAATCAGACACACAGGAACACACTTGCACTCAATCCTTTTTTTTTATAAAAAGGTTGACATTTTATCTTTTCTCCTGTGTAGATTTCATATTGTAAACGGGAATGCTACTCTAACGGCAGACTGGACTTCACTATTAATTTCTTTACTTTTGCTATATTAAAGAAAACATGCTTGCTTCCAAATCACATCTTCAGCTTAGAATAGATAGCATGACACTGTCCTGTAATTCTTTCTGTATTCACTTTGAAGAAAGTGTAGACACAACTGTATTGAGAAAGAATAGTTTGGGGAAATCTTTACACTGGAGTTTTCTTGGGAAGTTGGGGAAACACCAGCAAACAGCATAAATTATTTTTTGTGCATAGCTGTATTTTAAAACCAGTGTCGATAATCATGATCATAGTGCAATTCTCTCAAACAAAGACCTTTTATCTAGTATGTCCTACTAGAGAAGTCCAGGATGTCTGGATGCACAACAGCAGACCTTGCACATCCTGTTTTGACAATCTGCCATATCCTCTGCCTTTCACCTGGATATTGTTGGCCTGCTTTTCTGATTGCAAACAGATCTGAGGAATGCCTGTGAGCAGCCAGCAATGCTAGCAGTGCTCATGTTGTCAGGAAAATGAGAGCCTTGCTGCAAAGGATTAATTCACTTCAACCAACATGGGTTTTGTGAGTGCTAAGAGGCTTCAGCTCTTCCCATCATTATAGATGTCATCTGTAAACAATTTATGTAGGAAAATGTCATCTACTCAGGGAACAGCATGAATCCTATCACGTGCTGAGGGCAGCAGAAGAAATATACAGGATTAATAAATAATACTAATGATAATTCAAGTATACAAAATAATCCTCAGAGGAGTATGAAAGTTTTCTAAAACTCGAAGTTTTCATTAAGTAAAAGTGATATTGCAGAATTTGTTGCCTACTCATGTCTTACTCATAGATCAATAGAACACTTACTGCAGCGTAACAGGAGCAAATTCTTTAAGGTTTAAGGTTTAATCTGTGCATTTTCTGGTGCAACTCAAGGAAAAGAAAAGGCAGAAAGGTTTTAAGAATTCCTAATATGGAAAAAAAAACACCAATACCTATTCTGTCAAGTCTATCAATTGCCACCGTTTCAAAGGCCCTTCTCATCATGGGGTACTCTTCCAGAACCTCATTGAAGTTGTCCACTGAAAGGGAGTACAGGCGGCAGTACGTATCTGCTCGTACACTAGCAGTTCGACGGCCCTTGGTCAAAAGGCAGATCTCTGCGGGAGAAAAAAATCAGCACACACAGAAAACAAAGAAGTTAGTGAACCATGTGAAACTTAAAAGCTGCGAAGTGACTTAGTGCTAACAAGCAATAATTCAGTAGTCAATGGTAAATTTTACATTGCTGTTTACACAAGGTTGCTGGAACAACTCTGAAGGTTTTTAATTCCGTTTTTGATACTCTTTAAAAGCTCTGCTTAAAGGTTTCCTCAGTTTGAACTCTGATTTTATCAAGCCTTTAAAAACATTTTTTTTTTAAGTTATAAGAAATGATCCAGCAGCTATCAAATAGTATTTGAGGAGAGTGAACGTGATTTTATTTTTTAGACTTTTTTTCTCATTGAGTTAAAAATCAGAACCCTTTTAAACCTCTGCTTACCCCATTTGATTAATCTAGGAGCCTTTATCTGCAAGTGCCTCCAACAAGAATTCATCATTTTGGAAAAGGGGAGGCCAAAGCTATATGCCAAGTCCCAAGAAACAGCCCCAAACTTGTGATTCTGCTGATTCCTCAACAATGGAATGTCCAAGGCTTGTAAGAACAAACCATGTGGGGTATAATATTTCTTTTTTTATATTAAGATACAGAAAAATTACAAAGTCAGTTGCAAAAGCAAGTGTTTCAAGTTAGGGAAATAAGAACATATTTAGAAATATCAAGAATTCTTGGTCTCTAATAGGGTGAGACACAGTTTCCCTTCCCTAGTTGTAGAAGTTGGGGCAGTGATTTCTTATTTGTTCATATTTAAATACTGTGTTCATCACAAATTATTATTCTCAATCAACTATCATCTTAAGGTATGGTAAAGCAATTTTTTTTTTTTTTATTTTTTTTTAAATTAATCTAGAAGGTACAGAACCTTGATGGTTTTTTTGTCTCATACTCCTTGTTGAGGAACGTCTACACGCCACCTAACCCTGAAGGTTTAGGGGCTAAGTTGCTTAAATAATAGTAGATAAATCAAAGTAAATTAATGCGTGACTAGTACTAACACAGAATGTACTTAAAACCCAAAAGCTTTCGGGAGAATTTATAGACTAATGGGTATTGTAAGAGTCTTGACCTAATGTCCCTCACAAAACCTCATATCTATGAAATAATGATAGTTTACTGTAAAGAGCCAGCCAGGACAAACAGAAGTCATTCCTTTGCTCTTCCATCCCCTAGCTCAGCTTGATCCCTTCTCCATTAATTGAACTCACTGCATTTAAGCCACAAGAGTGAGATAGAAATTTTGCCCAAAGGGAGCAGTTAAATGCAGTGAGTGTCTGCTCCATTTCCTATTAAGTTCTTTAGATCTTACACAGAATAAAGTTTTACAATACTTGACTGAATTTAGACATAACTTAACTAGGTTGAAAGTCTGTGTGATTAATGATCAACTCTTGATTTCCAGCTTTCTTCACTTAAAATTGCTGCAATCTACACTAGATACATAAGGAGGTGCCATTCAACAAATAAAAGCACTTGAGTTTTAGAAACACCACATGACCAAAAAAACCCCAGATGTTGACTATTGATCAAAACCATTCTGAACAGTGCAAAATAAAATGAAGAAAGTAGCGTTTTCATCATTATTCATCTAGAACACTGTATTTTAGATCAATTCAACAAGGACAAGAAAAAAACATAAAAGGCAATGTTACATATCATCACAGTACAACAGGAGTCTGGAATTCATGGGTATTACTGCAATTAATATATATTTTTTTCCCTTTTTCATTTTCTAATATTCTTGTGAAGTCATTGGAAGAGAAAACACTGTCAGCCCACAGCTTCTAATTGAAGAACATATTATTGAAGGCTCTCAGTAACCATACTGGACTCTTCTAATTAGATAAGATGATAAAGGATGAGTTAGGAAAGATACGAAAAATGTCCCAACACCTAGAAGCTGAGACCCTTCCTGCTCAGGAAGCAGGCTTCAGTTCTTGGCTCCAGTTCAATGGTCTCATTCAAAAGATTAACTTCTTCTGACAGAAAAAGTACCATGTAATGAATATCTGTGCAATGCATTTCCAGCATTTTTTTTTTCCAGCCACTGATAGATCATCTATATTGCTCTGTTATAAGTATCAATAGCATCAATTATACTCTAGCCAGAAGACTAACGTGCTTGTTAATTTTATGTGTTCTTCATTTAACTTCATTTCATCTACTGCCTATTTTTTTGGAACAAACTCTCAAGCACAGTAAGACATAATACATGAAACGTCATTTACCTGGACTGGAAAGGAAGAACACAGAGTGTCAAAATGTGTGCCCACCAAACACGTGTTTTTGTTAAATAAATAAAGTATTTATTTTGTTTGTTTGTTTGTTTTTGTTGTTTGTTTGCTTTTTAAAGAAGAAAATAAACACTATGTTTCAAGAAGGGAACAAAATAATGAAAATATATGATATATTTGAAGTTGCATCAAGTGCACCAGGTGACCTCAGCAATTATACTCTCCTTGGTGTTCAATTGATGTAAACAGATGATACCATACAAAAAATAGTACATGAGTGTGCTGTGAAACACAAAGGGTACCGACTATTTTCAAACAGCTTGGACAAGTAAGGTTCTCTATTAGCATAAAAAGAAAGCTGTGGCATCATATTACTCACTAATATTCCCATCTGCAGTTGGCATGGTGCATTGCCCTCATGCTGATACTTTCGAAGTGTCAAATACTTCTACCTTCCCTTTTCAAATGAAATAATGTCTTCAACTCCAATTAATAGTTATGTGTCAGACTACAATGAACCTGCAATTCACCTCTTAATGCAAGTTTCACTTTAATTATTTAATCTATTCAGAAAACTATTCTCTAGAACATTCTGAAACAAGTGTCAATCACTGCATTAATAAAAATATGCGTATTTGAAAGCACTAAATTATGCTAAAAACATGAGAGGCAACTAGGAAAGCTAAGGCCTCCTTGGAAATTAACCTTGCAAGTCAGGTTAAGGATAATAGAAAGGGCTTTTTCAAATATATAACTAACAAAACTAGCACTAGAGGCAATATTGGCCCACTGAAGAATGAGGTGGGAGCCCTGGTGACAGAGGATATAAAGAAGGCAGAGGTGCTGAACGCCTTCTTTGCCTCTGTCTTTACTCCTGCAGGATTTCCCCATGAGCCCCAGATTCATATAGCCCCAGAAGTAGTCAAGATAGATGAGGAGTCTGACATGGTAGATGAGGATTGGGTTAGGGATCAGTTGAGTAATCTGGACATCCATAAATCAATGGGTCTGGATGGAATGCACCCAAGGGTGCTGAGGGAGCTGGCGGAGGTCATTGCTAGGCCACTCTCCATCATCTTCGGTAAGTCATGGGTAACAGGAGAGGTGCCTGAGGACTGGAGGATAGCAAATGTCACACCAGTCTACAAGAAGGGCAAGAAGGAGGACCCGGGTAACTATAGACCGGTCAGCCTCACCTCCATCCCTGGAAAGGTGATGGAACAACTTGTTCTTGGCACTATCTCCAGGCACATCAAGGACATGGGGGTCATCAAGAGCAGTCAACATGGTTTTATCAAGGGTAAATCATGTTTGACTAACCTCATAGCCTTCTATGAGGAAATTACTAGGTGGATAGATGATGGTAGAGCGGTAGATGTGGTTTATCTTGATTTCAGTAAAGCATTTGACACCGTCTCCCACAGCATCCTTGTGGATAAGTTGATCAGGTATGGGTTTGGTGACCAGGAAGTGAGGTGGATTAGGAACTGGTTGAAAGGAAGGAGTCAGAGAGTTGTAGTCAATGGGGTAGAATCTGGTTGGAGGTGTGTTACTAGTGGAGTCCCACAAGGGTCGGTGCTGGGACCGGTGTTGTTCAACATCTTCATCAACGACCTGGATGAGGGTATAGAATGTACCCTCAGCAAGTTTGCTGATGACACTAAGCTGGGAGGAGTGGCTGACACACCAGAAGGCTGTGCTGCCATTCAGAGAGACTTAGATAGGTTGGTGAGTTGGGCGGGGAGAAACATGATGAAATTCAACAAGGGGAAGTGCAGAGTTTTACATTTGGGGAAGAACAACACCATGTCCCAGTACAGGTTGGGGGCTGAACTGCTGGAGAGTAGTGTAGGTGAAAGAGACCTGGGGGTCCTGGTAGACAGGAGGATGACCATGAGCCAGCAATGTGCCCTTGTGGCCAAGAAGGCCAATGGCATCCTGGGGTGCATTAGAAAGGGTGTGGTTAGTAGGTCAAGAGAGGTTCTCCTCCCCCTCTATTCTGCATTGGTGAGGCCACATCTGGAGTATTGTGTCCAGTTCTGGGCCCCTCAGTTCAAAAAGGACAGGGAACTGCTCGAGAGAGTCCAGCGCAGAGCTACGAAGATGATTAGGGGAGTGGAACATCTCCCTTATGAGGAAAGGCTGAGGGAGCTGGGTCTCTTTAGCTTGGAGAAAAGGAGACTGAGGGGTGACCTCATCAATGTTTACAAATATGTAAGGGGTGAGTGTCAGGGGGACGGAGTTAGGCTTTTCTCAGTGATGACCAGTGATAGGACAAGGGGTAATGGGTGTAAATTGGAGCATAGGAGGTTCAAGGTGAATATCCGAAAAAATCTTTTTACTGTGAGAGTGACAGAGCCCTGGAACAGGCTGCCCAGGGAGGTTGTGGAGTCTCCTTCACCAGAGACATTCAAAATCCACCTGGATGCATTCCTGTGTGATGTAATCTATGTGGCCCTGCTCTGGCAGGGGGGGTTGGACTAGATGATCTTTCAAGGTCCCTTCCAACCCCTAAGATTCTATAATTCTATGATTTCTTTATTTTTACAGTTCATATTTAATACCAGTGTAAATAACTTGCCTGTGAAAATCCCAATTTGTCCTGCAACAGATTTTCCCCACAGAACAATGCAGCTCCCAAAAGAACACAGAAAACTGCTCAAATACAACACACTTTTTTTGATAAAGACGCCAACTAAAAAGCTCAATGATTAAAGTTTAAAGCTAAGGCTGTTCTAAAGGTTATACTAATAAAAACTAATGAACA